TGGTTTCGTTTTCCCGGCACGAAATTGCATAAAAGGCTTCCCGCCACGAACTTTTGCGCCTCGTGCATAATGCAATAATCCATTTAACGCGTATCGGTCTCTAACGTTTCCGTCGTACGGCTTAATTTGTCGTTCGAACGCTCGTCGTTTTGCTGTTCCATCGAATCCCGCGAAATTGACCTAGAGGGTGTCCCTGAAGTCCCGATCTACTTCATCGATACGATTGTCAAGGAACGAGTAGTTCGATACATCACGGGCCAGACTCGTGATAATCAGTTTTGGCCGAATATACGAGTCTCGCACGTAGTTGTAGCTTAAGGGATTAGTATAGTCTTAGACAAAGCAGCAAGACATAATTGTAATATGTTATAGCAGTAGCAACTCCCGTGAGTAAAGAGATTCTCTATCTAGTTTCCCCGTATGTCCTCTAAAAATCGCTAGAGTAACCTCTGTTTATGTGTAGGATCTAGTCTAGGTGTAGGTCTGTAAGGGTTATCTAGGTCCACGTATTCTTTACAGAACCTTGCGTCGAACCAGGTGGCGTCGTCTAGCCTGCGTGGAAAACTACCAAGAGAATCGTCCTGTAAAAAACCTCTAAATCTTCTAATATCTAAGGTCTACAGGGTGTCCCAAAAGTCGGGGAGGAGCCGGAAATGGGGGGTAGCTGAGACGATTCTGAACAACAATTTCCTTTGCAAAAATGTCGGATGTGGCTTCGTTGAGGAGATATTAAGCGAAAACCCCGACCAATCAGAGCGCGCGTAGACTGTTGGAGCGGCCGCGGTAGCGTATGAGCGCGACCGCCAAGCGCGTAGTCTTCGCTCCCGCGGTCGCTCCACCAGCATCCTCGCGCTCTGATAGGTCAGTGTTTTCCGTTAATATCTTCTCAACGAAGCCCCATCCGACATTTTTGCAAAGGAAATTGTTGTTCAGAATCGTCTCAGCTACCCCCCATTTCCGGCTCCTCCCCGACTTTTGGGACACCCTGTATAATACACTCTATATATTACATCTCTCCTCTCGATATCTATCCTATCGCAACCTTTCTTCATAACCATCCAACCTTCGTTTCTAAACCTTCTCTCGTTATCATTTCAGTTCTCCGTAAATATTGCGAAAAAGAGGCTCCTCCGAGATTCACGGCACCGGTGAAAATTGCGCCAAACGAGCGAAACGCAGAAGTTGATGCACGCTGGTGGTACACACGAGTTGAACAGATTTTTTTTTTTTTGTTCTCGTACGGCTCTTGTTTGCTTCTGGGTTAAACGCGGATCTAAATACGAAACGTAAGCGACTGCGATACTCTTGCCAGGAGGGACTGAACAACCCGACGCTCGAGATATATTACTCGCGGCTGTGTACAGGGTGGTACGTGTCACTCAGCCGTAGCAAATCCGAGGCGAAACATTTTAGCGAACCCTCTCGAGGGTGAAAAATTGCGCTACTCGCTGAGGATCGCGTTTTGCCAGCAGTAATTCCTTCAGAAATTAATTTTTGGGTTAATCTAGTATATCCTATGAAATAGAATGTTGGCGAATAGCGAGGTTGAAGTAGAAAGTAAATTAGGAAATCGTAAGAAGTAATTCCTTCGGATGTTAATTTTGGGTTAATCTAGTGAACTTATATCCTATGTAATAAAAGATAGAAATATCTTATCTAAATGTTAGAAAATAGTGAGGTAGAAATAGTAAGTAAATCAGGAAATCGTGAGCAGTAATTCCTTGAGAAATTAATTTTGGGTTAGTCTAATTAATTTATATTCAATGGAATAAAATTTTAGGAAATAGTATATTATAGTATAGTATAGGAATAGTATCTCGGTATGCAGAGTATACTGTGTATATTGATTGAGATATGAACTGTAACTATACTATTACCTAACGCGATACGAAGAGGGAGATTAGTAATCAGCATTTTTAATTGAGCCGTGTCTCGTGCGTAAGCTTTGAAGTAAACAATCAGGCATTCGATAATACCCGGTCAGCACGTGCGATTATCGTCGATACGAGATAACGAAAATGTCTAGACGGCGCTGATCGTCTTTCCGTCCGCGAAAGATTGGAAGAGACCTTGACACCCAATAATAAAAGATAACATATGAGAGGACGTATTACTTGCTAATTAAACTGAGACGTCGAGGTGTATATCACGTTCAACCGGGTTAGGGTACTGACGTCTCGCCTGCATTGCGGGTAGCTTCATCGGTATCCGATAACGTAATCGCTGTTAACTATACTGGTACGGTAATACGTAGGCCAACTATGCAGATGAACCGCCATTATTTAATTCTACATATACAGAACATACACGTGTAGAGAAATTCATTCTGTGCGGTTAACTATACACCTACTATTTATATTAGAAATTTACATACCTCTTTATAGACTTCTTTATAGACTTCTTTATAGACTTATAGACATCACATTCAGGCGCGTGTAAAATATTATTAGATTTGTTTCTGCAAGCATTAGTTTCCAAGAGACTGAACAAGTTAGTTTAAAATACATGCCAGGTATTTTTGAATGCTCTGTTTCTGCGTTAAAAATGCACGAGCCACCCTATATACCAAGCGTTGGGTATTGTCTGTGCACGTGGCCTCATTAACAAGCCCGAGTTTCGCTGCCTAGGGATGGACCTTCAGCGAGCGTTCAGCAAACTCTATTCATCCCACTGAATTTCGTTAATTGCATCCTCCTCGATCGACTTTCTGCGCTCCCTTCGCCGTCCACTTTTTTTTCCACGTCAACCCTTTTGCCTCTTTTTGGTTCAACCTTCGCATCGCTCGGCGCTTGTAATAAAATAATCGTCGCGATACCGATCCTCGGTTATCGGTATTCGATGCGGAGAGCAATTCGTGTCATTTTTATTATTTCCACGGTAATAAACATCGCGGAGTCTAAGCAGTCCCCGGAGATCTCTTTTTTTTTTTTATCGAATAATAAAAACGAGTCTTGTTTGCTCTTTCGAGCCTCTTAGTATCCAAGTTGTTTACGTTTCTCTCGAATAGACTCGCAAAAGCAATTTGGATACTTGCCCGACGTATTAAATTGACCAGCGAGTTCTTTTAGAACCGTTCGTGTTCGTTTGCTCGCGAGAAGTGGCCGTAGAACCTTTTCCTGCGTCAGTACCCGACGTTGTTAACAAAGTAAAGCGTGTTTTCTCGAGCAAGAAACTTTGCTAACGATCGCCAGTTGACCTCCATTATAAAATGGCGACCTTTGCTCCAGCGGAAAGCTGGGTCAGAGCCGAATGAAAGAGTTGAATGGCGAGTGACGGAGCCCTCGGTCCGACCCGTCACTCCTCGAGATAACGAAGAAACGAATGTGTCCGTTTCCGAACAGAATATAGACTTCCGAAGGAATGTACATTGCCTCGAAATAAGCAACTGTTTTCCGCCTTGAAGTCGAAAACCGAGTCCGAGAGGTCCGAGAAGAATTCGATTTTACTAGCGCTAAAATGAGAAGTTTTTCTTCAAAAAACAACACCCGTGCTCGAACGATCACTTTATAGTTTGTCGCTACACCGAACCCCCTGTTTTATCTACCGGTCCTCCCTCGTCAAAACAAAGTCAAGCCGAATACCATACCTCTCTCGAAATAAGCAACTCGGTCGGGACCGGCGAGTTGCTTATTTCGAGACAGTACTGTGTAACCAAATATTGTGACTGTTCTTGCGAACCTGCCGACGCACCTAATTCTTTATTTCCTATTTCTTTGTATTATTATATCATTTCGATATTTAAGGTTTTCGTAAACCATGAAATGCAACCATGAACGTGAAATTATTCGACCTCGACTTCCATTCCGCGACAGTGTTTGACTTTTACTTTCGCTCGACGTTTCCCTTTTACTGCGATAAGATAACGCTATTAATCGATGGGACGATATCGAAGCTTCTAGTTGCGCGGTAGGTTGTCTTATCTGGGCCCTTTAAAGGCGTTGCTAGTTCGAATCGTGTGCATTTCAGAAAGTTCAGTGCTGTGCGAACTAATCTCGAAGCGGACGAAAGGCTCGATTATCCCACGGTTGGTTGTAGAAAATTAATAATCGGTAGGATCTTATCTCGGTTGGAATTTTGTTTTTCATTTTTTATTTTCTATTTTTTTTTTATTTTCGAACTTATCAGAATTATGATCGCAAAGCAGGACTTCTTCGTTGCTTTGATCTCCGATATTCCAATGATTATTCCAGATATGCTAATCCTCGATAAGTGGAAACAATTCAGCCGGAATCACAGATAATGCCGTACATTTGACCTGGAAGAGACGTTGCGCAATAGTCGCGAATTAATATAACACGGAACGGAGTCTAGGAACATGTGGTCGTTAAAAAAACATCTCTGTTAGATCCATCGCGATTACGGCTGCTATTGTCCTGCCGCGATTGAAGGTGTACGTTCAGCAGGGAATACGTAAAAAAAAAGAAGAAAAAAGTCGTTACAATTGTAGACAATAAATCCCATCGAGCGTCTTCGACAATGCGACGGATATCGTGGAATATTTTCAAAATTGTAGCTAGTTGCGTAAGAGACAGATAAAATATACAAGACGGTGTTAATAATACCTAGGTAACTGTACAGGTAGATTACCTGTTAATTACCTAGTGACTTTATAATCGGTGGAGAATTTGAGTGAGAGAAAAATTCGTGTCTTTCATCAAAAATAATTCGTGTCTCTGGGTCTCAATTTTCCCGAATTAAATAACATCCTAGCACAATGGGAAAGGAACGATGAACGAGCTTCGTGATACGTCGCGATGCATTAAATTTCATTGCTCGACGAGCTTGCGAATATCGAATAACGCAATGTTTGGCGATGATTTACGGGAGATGCTCTATCGATCATACACGGTTTCCATGGAGCGTGTCTATGTATCCGGGTTTTCTTTTTATATCTGGATCGGTCGGCGATAGTCACGAAACTCTGACGCAACTCATGGCAAAATCGAATACTCGCTAAACTGTTGTTAAACTGTTGTTCGATGAACGTGAGGATATTTTTGGTAGACTCTCGTTACACAATTTTTATTTCTCGTTTACACGTAGATGTTTCCATACAATAATACTATCTGAGATCAGCCTTCGCGTGCATTCGAAATCCTATAACTTAAATTTTCAAACAGTCTGAAGGAACGTCACAGACGTTCATGCGACGAAATACTGCTTCGATATAGCTTGTCGCACGAGTTGCATACTTACTATACCTTATAGTCGTAAGTACGTTTGGCGCGAATACTGTCGTACAGTCATTTGTCTTCGGTGGTTAAGTGGACACGAATATTACATGACCGATAGTCGGTATTATTATCGCGACATTCGAAAAGAACGAACGTCGAGTGAATAAGTCGTTTGTCACCTAGAGTTGGCATTGAAGAGATCGTCGGTAATGACACTTCATTATTCACGCGATTGATTCCCCTACTTGGTATAGCGGACTCGGATGATTACTCAATTCACTTCTATATCAGCTCCGAAGCGAATCTTCCTCCTGCTTTCCTCTTTGTCAGGGGAGGCCGCAATTTTCCCCTTTAATTGCTATGTATAAGTATAGATACTCGCCAAGTATAGATAGGCGATAATTCTAGAAATACTGTAGGTGATTAAGGTTACGCGCAAGCATAGCACACACGCATTATATTTCAAACATTTCGATGTTCGAGTTTCGACACTTTCTAGCGTTATTCATAATTTCTTTAATAAATCCTCTTTGGGACCTATCTTGACGAAAGTGGCTCCATCGAAGGACCTGATAACCGTCCCAGGATTCACGAACCATTTGGTTACGAGTTGCTCGTCACATTGTAGCCACGAGTTGCTAATCACTGTCTTCGTCACTTTCTCTTGTTTGTTTCCCAAAGCAACCCGTTTAGCATCTCTTTTCGCGTTCGCAGCGTTCTCCCTCTCTTCAACGCTGCTCGAACGCTCTTTATTTACTTCGATGTCCTTCGAACGCTCCTCGTCCGTTATCTTCTTCGACGGTCGCCTAAGCTTTTTTTTGCTCTTTTTCTCCGTGTTGCCATCGACGGTTACTCTGCCCCCGTCTCCAACGTATCGGACCTTGTTCGACGATTTCGGGCCTAGCAACACGCGTCCTCCGTCCCCCCTGTACTCCACGTCACCCAAGTTCAGATCGATCTTCAATCTACATCCGTCGCCTATGATACGAACACTTCCGTAATTTTTCGCCACGGTAACGTTGCATCCGTCGCCAGTAATTTCTAGAATTTGCTCGTTTGAAAGTAATTTTAAAGAGAGGCCGTCGCCACGGATCGTCTTCACGTTCCCTTCCTCGGCGACCATGATCGTAACCGTTTCTTCGAGCCGGAATTACTTATCTAAAAAACTATTGGAAAATATAGGTGAACGATAGACTAGCTACGTTTCGCGTGGTTTAAATTGATCGGAATGCTTGATTTGCAAGTGTCGAAATTTCGAACTGAAAACTCCAGAGATTCCTCCTTCGTACAAATTCTGTTACATTTTCTAAGGAAAATGCTTACCTCGATGACAGTCCCGTGGAATAGAGATCGCTGGTGTTCTTATTCGTCTATTTCTCGAATAAAAATTTGCCCATCTTTGTCCAGCCGATCGCGTGTCCGTGTAACAGTAGAATTGTTTCTGTAAATCGAAACTTGCCAGGATACTTATGCAAGACTTGCTAGACGAGATCGATTTCGCTAGAGTTGTTTTCGATTGTGCCAAGAACGGTTATCGCTAGTTTCACGCCGTTTCGTCGTTCGAGAGCTTCGATGGTTTCGATCGCACCGGTGAAAAAGATCGTCTGTTCTTTCCTCGTACTTGCGCGCGGAGCCCAGCGGCCTTGCCACGTAAGTTGTCCGAGTTGTCTGTTTTGGGTTATTCTGCTGGCGAGTTTCCTACGATTAAGTCGTTTGGATCCTCGAGTAGTTTTTCTCGGGTAACGATCGGTTTCCGTTTAACTCGTCCGGAGAACAAGATTCTTGGAGATTTTCCTCCTGGTTTGCCTAGAAAGAGGGTGTAGACCGTTTAGGTAAATTACTGCATTTACGCTGCGTGTACCGTGTTACATATGGAAGGTATAGAATTATAATAATTGTACGCGTATCTTAAGAACAAAAGATCCAAGAGTCGTACGTGGAGAAAGAGTGATCTGTGATTTGATCGCTGACAGCTACTCACTGGAAATTTTCTTTATATCCTCGGTCAACTTTGTTCAGAAATTTTGTTCGTTTTGCCAAACGATCTTCATTTCGATTTTTATTTCTTGCTTCTGTCGCGTCCAGCACGTCTTAATAACCGTGGCACCTGATGCGTATGCGAGCGGAAGTCTCGGTGGAGATTTCTTTTAAGGAGAAATGTCGATTGCTCGGTTGAATGTTGCGTGGTCGAGGGCTTGGACGACACAGCACCAGCGATAGCGTCGCGACGCCGTAATAACGGTGTTGGTCGTGTGGCATGCAACGAGCTCCGGGGCTCTCCCGGTCAGCCAATCGGGTCCGGCCCGCATTCGGTACTTCCCCGTCGAGACCTTAACGCCGCGCCACGAACGTTTTATAAGTTCTCGGTCATTCTGCTCGATTATCACGGTTACGCGCGACTCTTTATCGTGTCGTTCCTGCTAATCGGTCCTTTTTTAAAAAATAGGTTCACTGACAGCAAGATTACACGTACAAACGAGGCATTTATACAACTATTCGTACTCCCTATATGTCGAGTTGTTTATTTCGAGGGAGGTGTGCTCTTATTAATATAAAACATACTTTTTCTCATTTCAGCACTAGTAAAATCGAATTCTGCTCGGATCTTCCTATCGACGGGAGACAATACTATACAGGGTGTCCCAAAAGTCGGGGAGGAGCCGGAAATGGGGGGTAGCTGAGACGATTCTGAACAACAATTTCCTTTGCAAAAATGTCGGATGGGGCTTCGTTGAGGAGATATTAAGCGAAAACCCCGACCAATCAGAGCGCGCGTAGACCGTTGGAGCGGCCGCGGTAGCGTATGAGCGCTGCCGCCTAGCGCGTAACCTACGCTCAACCGGCATACTCGCGCTCTGATTGGTCGGGGTTTTCTCTTAATATCTCCTCAACGAAGCCCCATCCGACATTTTTGCAAAGGAAATTGTCGTTCAGAATCGTCTCAGCTACCCCCCATTTCCGGCTCCTCCCCGGCTTTTGGGGCACCCTGTATAATAAACTTCAACTTCGTTATCAATCCATTTAAAGTAGAATGTCACAAGGAGAAGATGAATGATTCGAGTGTATTTTTTTAAAGATACCTAGGTATAACTGCATCGAATCGAAAATGGATAGAGATCCATTTCAATGTAGCTCCTCCCTAAAATATTACAACTTTTCTTCGAAACTAATCACTGCCATTTCTTTCTGATTTTTCTCCAACGAGAAAGTGTAACGATGCACAACGTTTCCCGCTGTACCGTACTCTCGGTGTATTCGTAAGTGGCGATGAATCGTTGGATAGATACGAAGTGATCGATGGCACGAGTGGGGGGTGGGGGGATAATTATTCAATAACAGCGGCGGAGTACGATACGAGGAGCACTCGGAACGCGTTGTACGCGATTCGCGAAAGGGGAACCCCTTTTGGTCGGTGACGCAAAGAATCCTCCGTCAATTACGATCGAAACACGTAATAGCCACGGATGAGGACGCGACGGGGACGCGTGGAACATGCGACAGATTAAGATAGAGCGATTGCAACCGCGAATGGACGCGCTGTCGTTATTTCTTCGAAGTAATCGCAGCACCGTGTGCTTTATTCTTCGCTTCGAATTAACCTTTTTCGTTGCATACTCGGATACTATTTATCATCGTGGACATAGATTTTTCTTTATAATTATAACTGTGTCAGGTATCTTTTTTTTTATTATGACCGTGAACGGAAAAACATTAATTATTAATTAATTATTCATGAATTCATTCCACTCTAACGTAAACAAGGAAGTAACTTATCATCTACATATAACAGACGTACTATTTGCGGCGTTGCGTGTATATTTACACCACTAAGCCAAGAATCAGATTACGTCTTATTACAGTGTTTCTAGATCGTCCTGTAATCTCGTTTATCAAGAATGTCGACTCATTCGAACCAAAATCGGGGGCCTATTCCCTAAAATCATTAGTCCGGTTTCATTTTCGCCCGAAAGGAACGTCCAACCGGATATTATCCGTCGCTAATCGAATATCGCACGTTCCACCTTCGATATCCGTGTATTAATTGCTTTCCATCGATTCGTCTCTCCACAATGCTGGACATTTTAGTCTGGCATGAACTTTATTCCGTGTGAACGTAACGTTGATCGTCCCTACAAAAATTCTCTTCAATAAACCTGCTCGTTTCTGATTTATGGGAACGCTCGGGACGTTCATCTGTTGCATCGTTTCCTGTTCGTCGACGAGAAACGTACCTATCTCTACGGACTGGTGTCGTCGCGTTTCGAACTTCGCAGGAATTTCGTGAGTTGCGTCACGGGCTTGACAAACAGGAACGAGGAAAGATCTTTTCGAGGTGGATTCCGTGTATTCAGATTCAGAGCGAGGAGAGTGATATCGCCAGTCGAACTTCTTCAAACTAGATTCCACATCTATTTTTGGAAATGTTCGCGGATTCTTCTTACCAACTCGAGGATTCAACACAATTTTAGATGAAATCATTTAAGGAAAGGCGACGAGGTTAAAACTAGCTACCAGTAGTTGTCGTAAAAACATCGATCCGATTTCTTTTTCAACAATCTCGTTTTTTAAAAATGCAAAAAAAAAGAAAAAAATTGTTTAAACATTTCCTTGTTTACGCCATTGAATTCGGCGCGAAAAATTATATAAAAGTACAAGGTTTCAAAATTTTGTCTCAATAATTACTGGTAATCCAAAGAAATACCAGAGTAACGACAAATAATTACGTTTATCGAATGTAACATTGAAACTAAAAGTGTCTTTGGTCTGTTCAGAATGGTACCCACGAAATGAGCGTCTGCCCGAACAACGAGCCAGTCAGCCTCGAGATGGAGACGCATCTCGAGGACAATAGCCTGAAAGTGTCGGCGGTGCAGAACGTGGCGAGACAGGATTCAGGAGTGCCCGAGGAGTTGGTGTCACCCGTGGGCGACACCAGCAAGCTGATGGACGAGGATGATCCCAACGGCACGATGAACAGCGACTGTAACATCACCGTGATCCACGTGACGGAGTCTGAGTCTCACAAAGCCGATGAAACTCTGGCCAGCGACAGGAAGGATTACGCGACCGAGGGAAAGGACAGCAAGGATGGCAGCGACAGCGGCGTGGAGGGCTGCGCCACCGAGGTTCCCAGGGTAAGAGATCGATCGCGTTCCCTTCTAGAAAACGCAGGTCGTTCGCGTCGTTCAATTATTAAGTCGAACGGAATCCAGCTGGCGTCATAGTTTCACTGAACAAATCAGCTGAAGGCTCGAGTCTGTATTGTACTGTAATTCGATTAAATATTGTATCGTTACCCCCGTCATAAATTGTACGAACCTGGTCTGTGCAATAATCCCAATTTATTTCACCTCTTCAGGTCCGAAGTCGAAACAGCATAGACTACGCGAGCAGTTGCGGAGGTCTGGACGAGGCATCGTGCGACTCTAGCCTGGTGAGCTGTTGCTCCGTGTACGAGGACCCCTGCGCCACGTTACCGGACGACGTGAGATTGACCACCGGTGGCGAGGGCACCAGCGAAGGTGGCAGCGAGAGTTCGTCCATCGCGGGCAGCGTATCCGTCCGTACTAATAGAACAAACACCAAGAGAACGGTAGCCGCCTCAGGCGTCAGTAAAAAGAAAACCAGCGCGACGGAGACCCAGAAGACCCCCCGTGTGAAACCAGCACCTGTTAGCACCAACTATCTAACGACCACCCCTCGTTGCAAGCCGCGCACCGTCACCCCTAGAAGTATCCTGAGTAAAACGCAGCCTGTAACGAGAGACAGGGCTAGGTCTAGGGAGAAATCGACGGCGAAAGAGGGCTCCTGCGAGGCTACGCCGGTCAGTACCCGAACGTCGACGACATTCCGTTCAGGGACGGTCGCTATGCCTCCGAGGACGAGGACGAGACCGATTCCCGATTCACTGCCATCAGCGTTGACTACGGAGATCAACAAGGACCTGGCGCAACGCGGCCGAGGTCCCAGCGGCAGCTGCAGGTCAGTCCCGACTTATAACATTTAACGTACCGTCTTAAATCTCTGATTAGCAACGAAAGTAGTAATTCTCAATTCTGTTATAGGTCCAGAGGAGGGTCTAGTACGCGCGGCGCACGCACGCCGAGCTCGACTCCGTCCGAGGAGGTACGCAAACCTTTGTCC